TATTTTTCTATCGAATCTGAATGGTATGTTTTGTGTAGAAATTCAGCACGGGTCACTAATTCCTAAGTTACACCGTTTCATTCCTTATATTATTCAATGATTCTCGAACTATTGTTGACGCGGCGGAAAATTGCCTTAGCGCGCTCTGAAAGGGAAGTTCCAGGTTATCAACACCTGGGCTGTAGGGGTTCCCACTGTGCTGTCAATTGTTAGGACGCAAAAGGGTCATTTTACGTCACAGGATCGCGACAGGTACTCATTAAAAAGTTATCTGTGCGGCTTGCCTGTCCTTTTCCATTTCTGTTCCGTTCTATTCAGAATTCTCATTTTCGCAGGGATTCTTACAAAATCGTTAAAAACCGCCAAAGCCTTCGTTTCAAAGTTTATCCGACATTCAATTAAGCTATTAGAAGATCGTATAATATTCGTCTTGATAGTTATATGTTGATTAGGCGAAATCGCCGGCTCCTAAGCACGCGATGTTCCTTCATGAAGCGCTTTTAATTTGTCCTGTGCTGCTTTTAATACGATGCCATGCCGACGAGATTCTAAATTTGGAGTCGATGACGGAGAGCCGGTTCTATCACGGTCGTGTGACGTTTTTCGTTGTCACCCCGCCATAGAATGACAATTACTTTCACCCGGTTTGTAAAATTAAGGATATAAAACCAAGAGAAAGAGATAATATGAATATAGTCGGTGTAGCTAATAGTATCATATAATTACATGATTCCGATATAGCTACACCACCGTAACACACACGCACATGGTGGGGATGACAAACAAAGTGATGAAGCCTACCCGTGGTGGTGTTAATGGTGGAGAGATTATCGGCACAAACACTAGCAATCGATGAAACAAAACTCATTAAACACGACCAGAGATCTTTTGTTCCGGTCTTGTTAGCTTGGTTTGGGCATCATAAAATAGAAAGATACTCTGTACCATCGTTAATCATGTAAGCAATATTTTTTTCTGTTTTCTCATAGTTTGAAAATATTGAATCATGTTTTATTGCATTACGACGTGAAATATGCACCCAGTCCGAATTTAGATTATACATTTTTGTAAGATCAGATCCTATAAGCTACTGTGCTGACTTAGCGGTTGAACGCGTAAATTGGAAATCACATAAAAGCTTTGTGTTTATTCATTTCAAGCTGACAAATGAAAATATTATTACACCCATTGATAGTGACAAGTACCGGAGATAGCCGTAGAATTGTTTTACCCCGTAATGACGTTCCCCGGTCCCGTCAGTAACAGTTAGCGGTCCTTATTAGTTTTTTTTTTGAGATAGTCAATTTTGTCAGTCAGCTTGTCAATTTCGCCTCAGTAACATAATGTAGAATATCTAAGCTGTCTTAAAGATTTATTTACACATTTTTTTCACCTTTTCAAAACAATTTTACTACCCCCTCCCCCCTCCCCGCCCCTACTCATTCTTCAAAATAAAACAGAAATATCAGAATTTCCACTCAACTCTGTTATTATCCGATTATGAATATTTTGGTATTTTTTGTTAAATAGCGTCGATTTGTACGGTTTCTGTATCGGTTCTACTCGTGTAATGAGTGAATGATGGGGTGATTTCTTAGTGATATATAACGATTCAGCTTGAACGGTTTACTAATTAGTCAAGGCTAATTAACTCCATGATAAAAACAATAAAAATGAATTCGAGCGATAGCGTCCAATAGCTGGCGAGTTGGTTCTGGTATTGATGTTTGTTTATTTGTGAAACATTCCAAACGTCGTAAATAACATCGGTTATAGCAGTTTTATACGGCGATAAACAATTCACTGACATAAATTGTGAAGTTTTGAAAATTTGGAATAAAAAATCCATCAATATTCAAATGATAAGGTATAGCATTAGGTTATCCTTGGCTAAGCATTTAAATCGAATGTTCGGCCTTAAACAATCAATCATTTATTTCATATTTTAAACGATAATTTAGAATTAATTAACAGTTTTATCAATTAAAATGTTGTAAACTGATATTTTTTGTAATAAATTTTTGTAATAGTCTATAAAATATCTTTTTTAATCAACAATAAAATGGAACTGTTTATATGCTATTTTCTTAATAATTGATTTTTGACAGTTTTATAAACAGTGATACAGCGAAATCTATATTGAGAAGTTTGATTACAAAAATATATATCAAACGTTTTGTAGTGCAGTGCATCATGCAGTGTAGCACTGGGTATATATATATATATGATTAATGAAGTAATAACGACAGAGCGGACAAGTTAGTTGTCAAATTTTCGAGGCAATATACAAATATATTCTTTTAAAAAGAATCTTTGCGGATTCTGACTGTGTCTATTCATATTTCTAAACAGTAAGAAATAGTGTCTAGCTAAAGTTCTTTGCATTTCCTTTCCGGATTTTTCTTTCCTTCTGTTGATTTCTTAATTATTTTGCTACAGAAAATGCAATTGCTGTCGAGGAAAGAGCTTATGAGTTTACATTTAAAGAATCTGTGAGGAATATTACGAATTGTTGGAATATTACACGGAGGAGGTTACAAAACCAGGTGAAACCGAAATCTCAGGTGAAATAATTTTAATATATTTTCTTCAGTATTGGGAAATCGCCAAAACGTTACTACAATACCTGTGGTGGTTTTATTTTTCTAGTTTAATATCATGATAATGTATTGCACTTAGCCATGTTTCTAGGAGAAGGAAATCCGTCCCGATTTCATCCGTGACTTGATGTCATCTTTGTTACATTGTGACGTCATATATTTGCTGTGAAATATGGACGTCCATGTTATACCGAAATTAAAAATATGGAAGTAGTTTTCAAAAAAATGAAGCATTTAACCTTCCAAGCATGGTTTTCGTTCTGATCTGAGCGGATCACTTGAATTTCTTCATATGCAGTTTAGATAATTAAGTCTCGAAACGATAATATAAAATCACTCGCCTTTAAAAAAAATAGATAAAAGACCAGTATACTAGGAATAACTGACCTCTCACTTTATGTTTAATTGGAATAAATATGTTTTTGTCTGTTTCAGTGTATGGAATATTTGACCTTTCAGTCTGTAATCGTTTATAGTTTACTGATAATTTCTACTTTTTTGTCAGAGATGCACGATCGTGTATGAAGGACAGTGACATGTGTCACTAGATGTGTATGGATATAGTTTGCGTGAAATTTGTTTCAGCCACTTTTACAGCTAGCCCGTAATTAAAAGCATTGATATGCTCGAAATCTTCCTAGAGATGTCACGTGACTATTACGTCACTTCACCAATGTCATGTGATTATTGTGTTATATCACATGACTTCTGTTCTTGGTCGTATGGTATTACATGACAACTGTGTTATGTCATATGACTATCGCACTACATTATGTAACTTGTGTATTACGTCATGTAATCACTGCATATGTTGTGTCGCATATCTTCTGTGTAATATCACATGATTATTGTGCTGTATCACATGACAACTTTGTCAGGTCATGTGACCGCTATGCTGTTGTGCTGTTTTCTTCGTCCTTTGTTATATTTAGTGATGAAGAATTAAGTAATGAAAATTAGAACACGAATACTAAACAAACTTGTCATGATTTTCATTCGGAATCAATATAAATATAATATGACAAACACAATGACGTCACAGAAGAACATAGTTAATGAAGTTGATGTGTGCAATACAGATGGGAATCGGACAAACCTATAAAATTATCGTGAAAAAATTCTATAAAGCACTTTCGTTTAAATCAATAAATACACATTTCGCACTATTGAAAAATGTCATGTTAAAACATAATTCTGTCACAAGACAAGAGTTAAAAGCAAATCATTAATTGTCAAATCTTAAGCGATATAGCACTTTGTGCCAATTTTCTCAGTAACTAATCTATCGATTCTTTGAGATTTAGTTTGAAATTCACAATTTCTTTTGAAACACAGATCCTTTTTTTAATTCATGATACCAAATTTAGAGAACAAATTCCCCTTGATTAAAAACTAAGTCCCTGTCACAGGGAACTAATTCCCTTTGGTTAAAAACTAATTCCCTGTAGCAGAGAACTAGTTCCTGGTTGTAAGAGAACTAGTTTACTGCAGTTCAGAACGAATTCCTTGCGGTTAAGATCTATTTCTTTGTCGCAAGGAACTACGCCCCTGTGTACAGAACTAATTCTCTGTGGTAGAGATCTATTTCCCTGAGGCAGAGAACTATTTCCCTGTGGTAGAGATCTATTTCCCTGTCGCAAGAAACTACTTCCCTGCGGTAGAGAACTATTTCCCTGTGGTAGAGATCTATTTCCCTGTCGCAAGAAACTACTTCCCTGTGGTAGAGAACTATTTCCCTGTGGTAGAGATCTATTTCCCTGTCGCAAGAAACTACTTCCCTGTGGTAGAGAACTATTTCCCTGTGGTAGAGATCTATTTCCCTGTCGCAAGAAACACTTCCCTGTGGTAGAGAACTATTTCCCTGTGGTAGAGATCTATTTCCCTGTCGCAAGAAACTACTTCCCTGTGGTAGAGAACTATTTCCCTGTGGTAGAGATCTATTTCCCTGTCGCAAGAAACTACTTCCCTGTGGTAGAGAACTATTTCCCTGTGGTAGAGATCTATTTCCCTGTCGCAAGAAACTACTTCCCTGTGGTAGAGAACTACTTCCCTGTGGTAGAGAACTATTTCCCTGTGGTAGAGATCTATTTCCCTGTCGCAAGAAACTACTTCCCTGTGGTAGAGAACTATTTCCCTGTGGTAGAGAACTATTTCCCTGTCGCAAGAAACTACTTCCCTGTGGTAGAGAACTATTTCCCTGTGGTAGAGAACTATTTCCCTGTGGTAGAGAACTAATTCCCTGTGGTACAGAACTATTCCCCTGTTGCAAAGAACTATTTCGCTGTGGTAGAGAACTAATTGCCTGTGGCAAGGAACTATTTCCCTGTGGCAGAGAACTATTTCCCTTTGATAGAGAACTAATTCCATATAGCAGGGAACTACTTCCCTGAAAATTTTATGTTACCACCATCTAGTCTGAGGCTGCATCAAAGGATGGCTGTAACTAGGCAACACGTTCATATTGTTCATGTTCATGTTCATGTTCAAATTCATTGCGTTCATAGATCCCATTGAGTTATATGAACAGCTCATATTCATACTGTTCATCGATGTAGGTAAACTCGAGTTCATGGAATTATTCATTGTTAAAGAGCCCATAGGGTTCATGTTCATATTGCTCAAACTGCTGTTCATGTTCACGGAAGAGTTCATATTCGGTTGCATTGGTAGGGGTTCCTGGGATTTCACAATGCCGTTCATTCCAGGTTGGCATGGTTTGCCGTCCCGCACGAGCACAGGAACAGCCACACGCCTTGGAGACGGTAATGGGTTCAGATCTAGCCCCTTTTCTTGCCGAGACCTCTTTAGCTTATACCTATGATTCTGAAACCATATTTTCACCTGAACTGGCGTGAGTCTAATTATACTTGCTAGATGTTCACGCTCAGGGGCACTTAGGTACCTCTGTTGACGAAATCGCCTTTCTAGTTCGTACGTTTGAGCCTTTGAGAACAACACTCTGCGTTTCCTTTTCTTTTGGCCATCATTGTTATGAGATCCTTGCGAATCATCACCTTCATTGTCACTTAGTTTGTCACAGTCCTCGGAACTATTTAATTCGGATTTCACAGCTGTAATGTCATTATGTACAGTAGAATGATTCTCAGTCGTGGACACATCGCTGGAGTGATTCGAGTCGCTGGGTGAATTCATGTGGGGTAAACCTGAAGATGGAAATTAACACAGATCAGCAATGATAATACCAACGTATAGAAGGGCTATACAAGTTAATCAAGTCATGAAATGGACACACGTTTCTCTTCAAACCTGACACAACACCGACTTTTCTCACCTATGGCGATGGTTAGACTTCAACAATCAGTTAGGATAACAATCACTCTTTGATCGAGGCTTTCGCCACGGCTCGTTTTGATAGATGGACGATTTAATTAAATCAGTAAATAAGCCCACCCAACGCAAGTTTCGCTCTTACGATGTTAAGATAATGTTTTTATAAGGACGAAAATGTGTTATGGATAAATACGAAATCAGAATTTTACTACAAAGATCCCACAGCTCCACGCTAACAGTGTACTGATTTATTGAATTCACATAAATAGTTTTGTGTATTTGTATTATCAGGGAAAATTATTATTTATATATCTATATTACCACAATAACATTAAGATTTCAGTTTTATTCTTTCATGCATCCATAGGTAAAACGTGACATTTTGATAACCATATTGAAATATTATTTTTTTTTATCTTCGTTTAGAGAGTTTCATCATGGAAGAAAAAGGTCGGTATTTGCTGGTTTATTTTTAGAAAATGTGACTAATGTTTAAAATTGTCATCTGTTTAAGTGTTATTGTAGGTCTTCTATTGTCACGAATGATAAATAGATAACAGCATAACCATTTCTTTATTGAGTTATATTTTTGTCCTAACACTGAACATTTAATTTCCTCACATCAAAAAACAACAAGAAATACCAACATGTGAACCTAATCATATTTATATATGAAAACTAAAGGCATATATCATAAACCAAAACGGTTTCATTTTACTCCGTCCTGTTTCGATCCTAACCAGCTGTTTTAGATCTAACCTGAATATGGAAATTATCCTGTAAATCTCACAATGGAATATTAATGTGAACGGAAAAAAGTCCCCGAAGGAAAAACATATCTCGAAATTTGTCTAAAAACACTATATCTATCTTGAAATTGTTTAGAATATCCCTTTTTGTCTCGAATTCTTTGGCTACAGGTACCAAAATATATTCCGAAATCTAAAATCCTTTGTTCATCTGAAACTCTTAGTCTTAAAATAGCTCCATATATCTGCTTGGAATTACTCATACGTAAGACTATTTGTCTGAGAATTCTCATATCACAAAAACCAAGTTGTTCTCGAAATATTCGTGTAAAAATAGAAACCCTTTTAGGTAAAAAATTGATGTGCAGAACACAAAATATTTTACCAACATCACCTAAGCCTGTGGCGTCATAGTTTACATTAACAGCTATCGACACTATGTAAACACCGAACACATTGGGTAACGAAAGCGACTTCAAACATTGTCATCGAGATCACAGGTATCCAAGTCATCAAATAAAATTATAGCGTAACAAGTATTATTAAAGTTTGGATTTTATCAGAAAATGAATTTAAATGATACACATTTCACGCTTAATTGGTTTCATGGTTCATTTTATAATGGTTTCCGTTCTGATCAGAGTGGACGTCAAATATTATTTTGAAAGCATCTTGATCATTTAACGGAAAACCTCTCACAGATTTCCCATTAACAACGATAGCAGCTTGAAAGTGCGTTCACATAAACTCTGGCCATTAATATGAATTCATATTAGTGATGACCATCAGCGAGTTGCTGATTTTCCCTGTGTTTTGCATAATTGCCCGTAACATCATAACACATCCGTTGATCAGCACCGTAACATCATTTAAAATTAGTTTCCACCTTTTTGTTTGATCGTTGAAAACATTCAGGTAGGCTTTATCAGTATTTTGTGTGTTGTTAACTAACTTTGATTTTTAACCATTTCCGCGAAAAATGTTTATAAAATTTCTGTTAGATTATCGGTTTGATAAGTGCATGTTTTCATTTTCTTATCATGTGTTACAGTTATCTCGTATCAGAAGGTCTTACTAAACTGACAGACCAATTAAATCGGAATTATTCTTCCCTAGCTGATGCATCATAAATGTCGAAATATTGGAATACGTGATTCTGATGAAAACACAGGAGACTTTGTGTTGATGTATTTGGACACGAATCAAGGTATAGAGTGCATGAAAAACAATCAAGAAAACAAACACATATCTAAATGAAAGTAAAATATCCCGTCCGTTTTAACAGTAATTCATATTCTGTTCACAGTCAGGTTAAAATGATTATAAAACAGAGAAATAAAACTAAAAGGAAAGTGTAAATAATTATCAGATAAATTTCTTTTTGATCGGTCTAATTACAAAAAAGGAAAGATTTTACTTTAAATATCAATTCCGCATTCAGATATAAATGGATAAAGAACGAAAACAAAAATAAAATAAAATGGTTGGTTAAGTCGAAACGCAAAATAATAAATAACTTCAGCAGGATAGAATCGAGGATTGATTTGATTCGGGTAGGATATATAGCATTTTAACACGAAACAATAGAAAATGTAATGAAGAAGATCAAAATACCGAAAGAATCAATTATCATACAACCATTTTTCAGAGAGTAACTCATTTTTTGTATGAGAATAGAAAAAAACACTTAAATATATTAAAGTTTATGAATTTACTTGTTAGAAATACCAGGATGTAGAAGAATGAGATAAATGTACTATTATTTATAAAACTCACACTATTAGAGTACTTCACTATAATGAGCTTACTAACAAAATCTCCGGCATTGGGCGGATCAAAAATTAAATGTATCATCAAACTCAAATCGATATATTAGGATGAAGTTCTAAAGTGTTTTCCTTCTTTTTTTAAGATTTCCTCTCTATATGATAGACCATAATAAAATACCAACACTGAACAAACACAATATTCCACATATTAAAGATTAAATACAGTCTCGAATATCAAGAAATACAAGAGTACTTGTTACACCTGGTCACCTTTCACTTTTTCACTCTGTGTAAATCTTTCTTTTGTTCATATTTTACCCTAGTTTTATGGAATTTGAGTTTGAATTATGATTATGCTGACATGTTGTTTCTTGATAGTTTTGTTTATTTACACAATATCTTTGTTTGCATACATCATTTTATTTATTTTTAATGTAATATTAATATATTTTTTTTTATTTTTGTGGTCAATACACTACATAGAAATTCATACTGTAATAGTATTATGTGTCTGACACGTGAACGCATTTAAACCATCCATTTCATTTCAAGGTAAATGAGATAATCCATTTCTTTTCTCTGTTGTAGTTAAGAGGATTATGAGTTGAACTATAAATGTAGTTATATATTAATTTGATGGCGCTGCCTTTTTCTAATCATGTTATATTATTAGAAAGTGTGATAATGGCTAATTACCACCAAGACCACGGGACGTGGACTCTGATTAATGTAGCACCCTCTGAGAATAATCATTTTGTCAATTCCCGTGTCGACATAGTTTTTACGTTAATAAGATAGTCTAGTGATACGTGGAAAGGACCTAGGGCAACAAGGTGTTGTCCACAAAGATTTTAAGACTGACACCGACTAATCCCTTGAAGAAATGTTGGTTCTCAGCTATTTGTATTATCTTTTTAATATAAATGATATAAAATGATGAGTGTTATACAATTGTGTTATTTCAGTTTAGAAAACGTTAGTCGACTTTGTTGTTGCTTCTTATGTTGATGTTGTTATTGTTGTTTGTTGAAGAAGAAGAAGAAGAAGAAGAAGAAGAAGAAGAAGAAGAAGAAGAGGAAGAAGAAGAAGAAGAAGAAGAAGAAGAGGATGAGGAGGAGGAGGAGGAGGAAGTGATAGAGGCAGAGGACAAAAGAAAATGCAGAAAAAAAATCTTCAAAGGGATGAGACAAATAACGAAATGTTTTATTGTTTTTTAGAATACATTTGAATGTAGTAACAGAAATAAATGCAGACAGAACCTCGCATGACCCTCCATTTAAATACAATTTTACCATATGTTTCTGTCGTGTGATTCGGACTTTTTCTAAGTATTATGAATCAATTTTGTTTGATTTCGAGGTACAGGTAATGTGAAATTACGTAACAGCTGGTTAGGATCGATACACAAAAATATATTTACTCTGAGAGTAGTATCATAGTAGGCAGTACACGGCATCAAGCTGAATCAATACTATCAGAGTGAAAACAAATACAATATATACCAAATCCATCAACATGTTTGAAAATCAGCGCGATGCTTTTTAAATATTTTGTTGAACATGTCAGAAATAATAACACATGAAACATATATTTCAATAGCGAGAAATAAAATGAGCATTGCTCTTTCGTTTGTATCTGAGTTAAAATATCATATGTATAATTAATGTTTAATTTATTGAAAACTGAGTTTAGAATTTTGCTTATAAAATTTTTACTTCAGGTAATATTATGTTTAGGGTCCATAAAATAAAGATGTATGAAATATATCTTTAAATACTTGGTTAAAATTATCAATACAATTTTAACGGCAGTGTAAATATATTTCATGATAAGGAATTGTTTACCCGTCTCTGAAACCAACAATCCTCCAATGTTTTCAAATATTTGCAGGAGAGTTTTAAATTGTTTCGTCGTTAAAAATAAAGAAGTTTAAAATGACCTCTTTCAAAAGGAGGTTGGTCGTTCATGCTACATGTCTGTTTGCTGATCTTTTTAATATGGGTGGTCTTTCAATTTCGAAATATGCTCTTAACAAACAGCGATGTTCCCTTCTGATTTTCCCCGCCTATATCTTTCTTTTGTGAAAACATGAAATGCAAATATTTTATATGTGTGGAATATAACTCCTTTATTTGAATTAAATCCCTAATTCATCGCCCAATTAGAGACATACATTGTATCAGGTGACAAGCAATGATATCGGGATTGAGTCGTAATGACTTCTCATGGATTGGTAACACTTCCTCTCCTGAGGAGGCTAGACAGATGATAAACAAACACAAGTACATTGATCAGACACTACGGCCTAATAGCACGTATATGTTAAAACATACTTGTGCACAATCCTTAGTTCATGTCTTGAATTTTGCCCTTTTCTCTCTTAAGGCTGAATAGATTGGTAATGACTCTTTGGTCCTGTTTTGTTCATTTGTTTTAGCAGTTTATAGTGTTGTATTATCATATCACTTATATCCACGTATATTTGTTTTAATATAAATTTGTTAGGAAAGTTATGTAAACTAATATTGCATGCTTTAATTCTATCTTTGACAATTTTATTTATAAACTGTGAAAATTGAAATTGAAAGATATCTATACAAGTTTCCAAAAGGAGTATGTATATGATCTCCCATTTCAACATGTGTCCACAATATTCAAATAAATTTGAAAAAAAGTTATCTTCACATCACTAATGGAAACTTTAAGATGAAATATAGGTATAAATGTAATCAAATTATTCCAGTAAACCAGCAAAGTTAAGAAGAGTTTCAGTGATGGAAACTAAATCTGCTATTGAGATACGCATTTGTATACTATGGATACTGGTTTTGTATTTTATACTAGCTTCCTTATATTTAAAGTATATATGGTACAAATGTACTTATTAATGTGTAACAATAAGTAACTCGTGCAATATGGTAAATATCATCAGTTTCTTTGACTGTTTTATCTTTTTAAAAACTACACCAAAGAAAAAATTCGAAATCGATGAATATAACGTTTATCCAAAAGAATATTTCTTTATATATATATATATATATCAATGATGATATCAAAAATCAAGAACTGAAGGTTTTTTTTATGTTAACGGTATAATGTATTTGATGTTTGGCAACACTGACACTGCTATGGGAGTAGTTGTTTACTTTGTATTTTATCATCATTTTTTAATATTTTTAAATCATGCGAGTATTTATTTCATCATTAAAATGAAATGATAGACACTGTATTTTAACTGTAATACAGTTTTTTAATACTTGTGTGAAATCCTAAATCTTAGTAATATACAGTCTTAATATCTCTAAATAGCGATCATCTTACAAGTAGTTCTTTTTATTTTGTATTTTATTTAAAGGAAAACAATTAAGGTACGATTATTTTCTTCTTCCTTTGTTTTAAAACTACGTGGTCTAAATGTTCTGAAATGAAATTCCATCCAAACATCTCCATGATTTAGAAAGTTAACTGAGCCATGACCAGATCTTTCAAACGATAGTTAACAACTGTTATCGCAAAAAAAAAAAATCAGGAACTACAAACACATGCTAATTTACACCAAAATTTATCAGCTATGATTTTTATAGGTTTTAAGTATTAGTGGTATACCATTCAAAGTCAGTTTAACTTTATTAATCTGACCTTTACTGGACGGGGCAGAAAAGGTGTCTTCAGGTCATACCAGGTATGAATCCACAAACCGGGTCTCGTAAATATACTCGATATTGTTTACTGTTGTTCTGAGTAAACAAGTGCCTAGTTAATTATACTGAAGCGGTTTTAACATGATTTACATATGCAATCTTACTACTCATGTATAACAAATCCAATCTGAACCCAGTAGTACAACATCTACCTATTTTTATCAATGATATCATTTTTCTTCGTTAGTTATCACCAAAAAACAAGGTAGAGGATATACGGAGTCCCATCTATTGACCAACCCGATGTAAATAATGAAGATCGGACATTTAAATTTCTTAATTTACTAATTAACACATTGTACGAACTGATTTAGAAATTTACGTTTCTGATCGTACTATCTCACGCAATACCTATAGTCTATAACACTGCCGTATTTACTTTCTTCCCTTCGTTAGATAGCGTATGATCCCATAGCAAATACTAGGCGATTATAAACCCTGTGATATCAGATCTAGATAAATGGCGATGAACTTCAAGTAAAGCCACGACAAACAAAGTCATGTCTTGAATCTTAAACACTTCGCGTTGTCCTTGAGATGTTAAGAACAAACTACAAATTATTCAGTCGAAAACAAGACGAAAAATTTGTATTTCACTCTTAACATTACAAAAACTTAGAAATATGAATTTTTTTTTCTGTAAAATTTCCTATAAGGAATTATGAAAGATACATAAGTGAATAGCACATTTCAATGGTGTAGTCAAATAATGAATAAAAGTTTATCTAGGATCCGCTTGGTCCTCTTGGATTCGTCAATGATGCAAGAGATCTCACGAGCTTAAGTCTATAAGGCGACTTTGAAAAATCCCGTAGAAGATGCCCTTTCCGAATAATTCAATATATTTTTTTAGTTTTCAATATCTGGTATGAAAAGAACGTCAAGTATATGTTTTGTTTGTGATAAACGTTACTACTTAAGTAAAAAGTATGATAACCTGTTACATTATTGCAAACAGTCATGTATTTGTCTTTAACAAAATAAGCAATATCAAAATATATAAACATATCAAGAACAGTAAAGGTTTTGTTTAAATGAATGATACATCATCTTTATACAGTCAACCAAGCGAGGTAGGCATTTTTAAATCAGACACTTTATATATAACTCCAGAAAACCTTTTGGATATATAGAACAGGTAAAGCAATCACTAGCTTACCTTAGTATAATTCCGGGACTATAACCAGATGATATATTGGCCAATACAAGGTCTACCGCAAGGAGTGTCAAGTGTAATACCTTTCACCAAATATTTCTTAATTCTAGAGTTGAAATCCTGACATCATTACACGATTACTATCCGGAGTCAAGCGTTCTTTATGTGTACTTATCATTGAGAAGAAATCTAGTTGTCATTAAAGATATATATTTTTAACTGATCAAGTTATAGTTAGTTGTTTACAATGAATATATTACTTTAACGTCCTGCTCTATTTCTTGGAAAAGTGAATAAAATATTTGCTTTTAACGATTTCAAATATCAATAAATAAGGTTAGGTGATGATTATTTTACATTATTAGGATATTTTCTATCAAATCTTAAACGTTGACAATGTATAGATAGTAGAAGAATAAATATAACACAATTTTATGCACAAAAGTAATAAATGATTAATTGTCAATCTATTTTTTACGCATCATACGTGTAACTAACAAATATATATTTCGGAGTGTTCTGTTCGTATCTTCCTTCCTTCAAGATTATAAACAGTGAAATTTAAAGATTTGATCTTTTTTCCGTGTCGGTATTAGAACCTCAAGATATCTACTTCATCACGGTATTAATTTTAGAGTGCCTCTTCCTTGTTAAAATTTCTACCAAATTTAACATTATATCATTTATTAAACAAAACCGTATACTTACTAGTATAATGCATGTGTTCGTTAGTTTGGAGCCAGCGTGTATATGGATTATCGTTGTCATAGTATCCGGTGACGGATGGTAGGTCCGGTACTTCCGGGACCGTAGGGATAGACAGTAGGGTGGCGCTGCTGACAGTGGTAGGGCCCCCGGGACTCAGGACAGTCTTTCCTTTAGGTAGATCCAGTATGTCCTTCACGGAAAAGCTACTGCTTGATTTTGCCCCTCCGTTCATTTCTTGTAGATGCGAGTCCATCTATGTGTGAAAATTGATTTTATGCTAAGATTATAAATCCGTGCACACTCAAACATGTAAACTGGCCACTTAAAGCTTCTAAATTGCCTCTTACCGATCCACGCATTGAATTAAGAACTCGTGTAAGCGTAATGGTTTCAGCTGTCAACTTCGGAATGACATCTTCACACAAAGATCTATTTTCAAAACAATTAAGAGGGTGGAATTAGGGTAGGTGAACCTTTATCAAGAGCAGGAACCACATTTGATCCACTACCCGTATCTCCTACATAGACGATTGGTGGGACTGAGACTGGACACGCCCTCTCGTGTTATCATTGTAAACAGAGGGGGCGTGTCCAGACTGTGTGTTAAATCGATGGGAGTCCATGAGAGATCGTACACACACTTGACAGGACAGCGAAGAAGCTAGTACTGAATCAATGTACAACTAATTTTTCCGATAAACAGCGCTCTTTTTCAAACAATTGTTCTCACTGCTGCCACTTGGCTTAATAACACAAAAACAAAATTAAAACTGAACAAATCAATAATTAGGAGGCTTGTGTATATGTATACTCTGAATTGTATAAATGAAAAGAAAACAAATATGAATGTATTGAGATAGGCATGGCCACTTCACGGGTACTTCAAAGGCCACTCTGAATGTTAGCATAGGAGTACAAACGACTGGAGCGATGAAATAAGCTTATCAAATACACTAAAAGACCCCAACAGATTGATACTTATTATATAGAACAACTAGTGTACATTACACTTTATATGGAGTGGTTATTTCATCCTTTAGCTTCAAGTAGAAAGGCTTTACTTTCAACCAAGCTGATAATTTAAACAATACAATTGGTAAGTTATCACTATCGGGTGAAGAGGCAGGCTAGCTAACTTGTGAGTGTTTGTACATACACACGGTGTCAACAACAATCAAACTCCATACTGGAGATGTCTAGTAGCTTTAACGAGATGCTGTTGGCACACAAGAATGAATCGAGTTTGATTTTAAAGAGGAGCAGATGACCTCTAGCTTATGATGTCATATCATTTCAAAGGTTTCTTCATGACAGTTTGGACCATTTCAGATTTTCTACATCATTGACCATAAGGAAAGTCATCTTATAGATAATTTAGGTTACAGTGTATAAACAATATATTTTTTTTATAATTCACTTCGAATTTCATTTGGTTTCATAATGATGTAGTGTCATAGGAAATACTATTACAGGGAGAAATATTAACAAATTTTGGATAAATAATAATTTGTATATACTGACAGTGATGATGGTTAAATACTAATGATAGATTTCAACACGTTTAAGATTATTTTTAAAAATGAAAAAAATAATTCTTCAGAAAAGACTTCCATTGCTCTGTCACCTCATACCATTAAATACTAAGACAGATATCACCCAGTGAGCTGTAATACTTTATATCAGTATGCAATCACATTAGCAAATATGTCAAAATTGTGCTTCTGTGAAATCGCACCGATTCATCTAGCATTATCCCTTCCCGTAATAATCGTTTTAAAAGTAACACGATTTATATATTATTTATTGTCATAACACACTTAGCTGTTACTAACCCCCACTTCTATCCGTTTTATAAAGTCACAAAATGTACAGATGTGTTTAGGTCTTTTCGCATTTTTACAGCCAATAAATGTCAGTACAATTATTACAAACATACACTGACGTTACGGTTAGGTATTAACGACGACTGAGAAACTAAGCTCAATATGAGCAATGATTACGAGAATTTTTTTAATTTTCCTTTGTATTTGTGCTTTTTGTATATTTTTTTTTTGTTTTGTTTTTTTTTTCTTTTGTTTGGGATGAGGGAGGGTGTGTCACCCAATCGAGCCACACATATCAAGCTACGTAACAATAGAAATATGGAATATTAGGTTGTGTTAAATGTAATTTAGGTAAAACATATTGTTGATCAAAATAACTTACAGATGATATATTTTACAGATTGGTCAGATTCACAAAATATACATTAGTTTTGTATGTTGGACAACCAGAAAAAGAATTAAATTTAAGATGCAATACCTTTTTATCTGAAAATAATAAATAAATAAATAAATGTTATATATATCTTGTATTTGTCTCATTCGTAATAATCAACAATTTAATATTTTCAATAATTATGATAAATGGTCAATTGGTACAAGAAACCCGTAGTTCTTCTGACATCTGTACATTCCCTGTGCGATTTCATTCGTATTTAATTAACTGAAAAGATTTCTGTACCAAAGATCAATAACATTTCACAGTCAGCATTGTCAGACAAAGATTCATATTTCATCCTAATCCACGTCGTGTTGAGATATCTCGAACCCGGAGTAGCCGACAGCTATTAACTCCCATCAGGTCATGAGTCTCCAGGTATTATGTTATTTATTGAAACAAGTTCACAATTTAACATGTTATCACCATACGGGCAACTGACTTCGTGTAAATAGTCGAGGTAAAACGTTATCTTAGAGCTGTTTAGGCAGAGACAGGTCAATAACTATTATCTCGAGTTTTATAACACTCGTATTAAGTAAATGAGATAAGCGATTGAAATGAAATACTAAGTAGTCTCCAAAGGTTTGTATTAGCTCATACATCGATCCATCCGATACATCCGCCAAGACTGGAGAACTCGCTGTGCTAATATTGTATGAAACAAATGTAACTCAGACCACAAACGTGGAGGGATTCTCGTCAGCAAACAGAAAAGAAAAAAAACACATTACATATAATTAATTGATAAAGGACGTGACCAAAATTGGAAACACTGCAATAAAACGAAATTGGAAAAAAATTGATAATTAAAGACCAAAAAAAAGGGTGATGGGGAGATATTGAAACAACTCATATTTTACCTAACCCTGAAATCCAAAGGAACGTTTCAGGAGTGTGGCGAAATTAGGCGACGTAAGTTGCTGACGTTAAGAAAACGAATCCTTTTGCAGAGGAATATTATTCACATTGTAGTTGTTTGGGCAGCTTATCAAATAAAACAGCGTATGCTGGTATATTACTACCAAGAAAATGTAAACAAACAAAGGTAAAATCCGCCAACGATAGTTTTGCATTAAATGGCAACATATTCGCATACCTGGTTATACTAACAAGAAGTTGCGATATCTTAGAATCTGTAACTCAAACAGCTTTGTTTTAAAATATTATTTATAGTGTAATCATATATAATTTGAGCTCTTCAATAATGTTCTCTCTCAGAGGATGAATTCATTATAGTCATGTATGTCAATTATCAAGCTATGGTAACGACGCGGTCGATGCCAGTATTTTCAATGAACATTTAAACAAAACCTGTGACAAGAAATCACCCTAAGAAAGTTGGTTAGGTGGTCTCCTATTCCAGGTCTAAGCACAAATTGATAAAAATAACCAAATACAAACAATAATTTAGATCAAAAATTGGTGAAACGAAAAAAAAAACCGAACAAAAAAAAATACAAGGGATTTTCACTGAAGAACTGCAACATTTCAATCGACATGTATGTAAATCCAACTAAGTTATGTCACATTATCAAATGAGATTTACAACAAACATCAACGATTCTCTTACTTAACATTATCTGATTAAGTTAGATCATCGTGATGCCTTTTTTTGTTCCAATAGTCTTCGCCAGTCTGCATTTCCCGAAGCCTTGTACTGAAAGTTTTTTTCATCAGCTTTATGTTGACACGTTATAGTGGGATCGTGATCATTGGAACGAGGAGAAGGAATATACTATGTAGAAATGGGGAATTATCATTGTTAAGTAGAAAATTGTCCCTTTTTGTTGCCTTTTTGATGTAGTAGAGTTAAAACTGATTTCTGATTTAATTGGGTATATATTTGATTAAAATAATCAGAACTTAAAACCAGAACGTTTTATTAGTGGTCTTTGAACTTTAACTGGGTGTTTTTTCAAGTAGAGATTTCCAGTTTTAAATAACAAATAACAACATGCAATATTTCAGTAATTTCATCTTTAAGACATGAACAAATTATTTTCTTAAAAATATAACTCGCAGCTTACGATAAATTATGATGTGATAAATTACATTTACTTCTAATGTAATTTTTCATGTTTTCATTGGCTACATTATGGAAGAAGTTAGAACTAGGCAATATTTATAACATACTAAATAAGAGACGAATGTTAAAGTCTACATTTTCTATTTTTTTTTTTTTTTTTTAATTTTGATGAAAGATATTTTGGTATTTTTCTGTTTGATTTATTTTCAAGATAGTTTTTTAAATATCTCTTTTTTTATTCTTGAACACCGCGAAAAAACTACTTCTCGAAGATGAGAATCATTACAATACATTTTGTGAACCGTTTCGAGTAAGATTCCCGGTTTTTGACATACCAAATGTACTGTGGGACTAAGGTACTGTGTCAAATATTTGATAAAGCTAGCAATCTTTAAGACAAAAAAAATAGTGTCTATTTTATCATGATCACCAAAAATTAAAAAAAAAAAAAAAAACGAACAAAAGTACAGATTTCAAGTCATCTTTATGGACAAGTTTCGGAAAAATTCCATGTCATGCTTTCGTGAGTCAGTTTTCACCTGCCTGTAGTCCCCAGTGTGACCTATAGTTGGATGAGAAAGTATTGCTTACCCAGGAAAGCTATACTGTATTCTCTTAGATTAAGAAATATACCCCATACTGATCCGTCACAAACTTAGTGAAATCTTCTTCATACAACCGTTTAACCACACTAAGCTTTTAAATCGTTTCTATTATAGATAAGCTCCACGAGGAACCTACTACATTACAATAGACACCCCTTTGAAGTGTCCTCTGCCTATATGGCTGGTAACCAAGGTATGTTGTAACTTTTTTGTTTTGGTCATGGCTGCACGCTCCGCCATCAAGTTTTTATCAGAGTTTAAAAGACGGTACAACCTTTACAGGTAAGTGACAAACAAAGTAGGATACAGCCAACCAACGTCACAGTCTGTTATAAATCTATCGTCCATTTACAACGATGT